TTCTTTGTTTGATTTTTGTCAACGCTTCTCTGGTACTCTGGCACTGGCTCCTGGGCTGCTGCTCTCCTTTGTTGAGCTTGGGCTTCATCCTTAGTTACATAAGTGGCGCCCGGCAAGGACTCTGCATTTTGCGTGTTTGATTTTTATTTGGCTTCATTTGTTCATTGTTCATTTCCCGGTTAGTTGCTCTTTTAATCGCCTTGCTTAGTTATCTCTGGCTTCCGTCCTGCGTCTTGTGCCTTCGGGATGTTCGAACTTCTGCGAGAGCGGGCTTTGGGCGCCTTAGCCGGGCTTTCAATTTCAATTAGTTGAAGAGCGTTTGAGCGCTGGCTACGACTTAATCCTGTTGCTGATGTTTTGGTTGAGCTATTGGGTTAATATTTAATTGACATTTGCCGAGATCAAAGTGCGTTTTCCTAATTGATGCTTGCAATCTTTTCTGGGGCAAAACTCTTTGCCAGGTAATTTATTATTTTTGCTTTGGCTTTGCTTCTGTTTTATCCCTATTGATACGCTAATTACACGAGATAATTTATCAAACGAACACTCAGATAATCTTGAACAGAGTAGCACGTATCGGTGGCTGCTAAAAATTCTGCTGCAGTGGCAAAAATTGCTACTTAATTACGTTGGCTTCGGCATCCGCTCCATGCTCCATGCCCCACGCCATTCCATCCTCCATTCTTCTTTCTCCTGTTCATCCTCGACGTCAATGTCACGACTGCAGGCTGCCCCACCTGCCCCTCGCTGGGGTAACTTTACAATTAACTACTAATTGCTCATACGCCACGTTGCCTGGCTGGCACTAGGAAAAAGTCAGGTGTGCGTGGCGGCGGCTCCACACACCCACCCATCGCCGCCATCGCCTCCATCGCCTACATCGCATCCATCGCACCTGTCTTTCTTGGCCTTCATTTTGCTCTAATTATCCGCGTTGTCACCCACCTTTGTCGCTGTTGTTGTCTGGAATTTACTGAATTAAGTTTTAAATTTTTATTAAATGCCTTTTGCGCATTCTTCCACTCTCCCTCAGTCGCCTCTCTTTTCGCTCCCTTTCTTGGGCTTTCAGCTACTGTAATTAGTTTTTAATTGCTTTTCAGGGGAACGTAACTATGCGAGCTCCGAGCCGGGCCTCCGACAGGACCTCCGTAAATAGTTCACTTTTGCTCCCGCCAAGCCTCAGCCTAAAGATTTCCCCGTTTTCCATTTTCCATTCGAACTTTTTACACTTTTTTATGGGCACAGACGGAGGCCCATTCGCAGCTGTGGCAAAGTCAATCAGCAATCGGGAGTGCTCCACATCAACGGCATGTTCAGGCAAATGGTACAAAAGCAAAGAGAGGCAAAAAAGAAGCCAGTAGGGGAAAATCAGCAGGGAGAAAAAGGAAAGTAATCACAAAACTTTCGCAATAAATCTATGGAAATAATGAAAAACCCAAAGTGCTAGCCGACATTCTCTCGCTCACTATTACAATTTCAATATTTCAACATACATATATCTGTATGTCAATATGGAAATGGATGGCGGCCACGAGAGGTCAGTGCGACAATAAAATACTCTCAGACGCAAGAAGGTTGACAATGAAGAGGCTGCGTGGCCTAGATGGATCATGTAGATTAGGACTCGACTTATAGTAGATATATGTACATACATAAGTAGTAATCCATAATACAATCCATTCAATTTTTGTTAATAACATGATTGTATTTGCTGCTCAATTTCTAGACTTTGATGAGGATCATCAAGGGTTTGCCTTCCCCATTTGAGACAATCATTCAAAGATATCCATTTCAGATATTTGCAGTTGTATCATTCCCATCAATCAATACACACTTTTGCTCTTATTTCGATTAAAGTATCGATTTAAGCAAATTAATCTTTGCCAACTCTCGATTACGGTAAAGATATCTTCAATTACATAGGGTAAATACTTTGCACAAACAGAGTATCAATCAACAGACATGGTAGCCAAAAAGGGTCAACACACAAACATGAAGAGTCCTTGTTCGTTCCAATTTCCCCAACACACACACACACACACCCACACTCACCTCATGCAAATTGCAAACACATGTCGAAGGCGCAAAACATTGTCAAACAAAAATGAAAAATTTATGAAAACGAAAATGAAACAACAACAAAATCATAAGTGGAGCAAAAATATGTCGCGCCCAGCGAAAAAAAAAAAAACATGTATGTGTAAAAACATAAGGAAAATTTTACAGAGGAGAGCAGAGGTGGAGAAGGGGGGACGGAAAAGCGAAATTTTCGTTCCGTTTAGGTGAAACTTCCAACTCATTTCGCACAAATGACAAGCCATTTTGTGTGCCGAGTGCCAAATATTTTACATGCCAGGCAGCAAAACATATTTTTTTTGGCACAACACAGTACACCCCCAAATTGCAAGGAGCAAAAACCAGTCTAAGAAGAAGCATGAGGAGCAGATATTAGCACAGCAGATGTCTGCTTTCGAAAATCACTCATACGCAACGTTGCCGCCGAACATTGAACAGCTTCAATTGCCGTTTGATGGTTCATTAAAATTTTGCTTGCTGCATTGGGTCGAGAGCAATCGAGCACAATAAATCGAGACCAGGTGGCAAGCGAGCAGAGAGCCGAGTATTCAAATAAATGATGCAAGCTGCTGCTTCCACTGCTGCAAGCTCCAGTTCGACTTGTGGCAGGAGCGGCAGTGTCAGATGGGATGGGGGGCTGTGCAGCTGCGACCTATGTATGCCAAGCTTAGATAAATAGCGAAATAAATTAAAGTGTGCCGCATGTTTTGAGCATCGACCTGGCTGGCACCTTAATTGCCGAGACTCAAGTCAAGACTGTGCCAAGCAGCCGAGACTTGAGAGAGCCTTAACCTGAAAAAAACTCATATCCCCACATATCGTACTCGCATACCACATAGCAATACAGACACGCCAATGAGGCCGGCACACGTGTGGCAAGTATTTATGTACTTTGTTTATGCCAAAATTGCAAAAGGGGCTAGATAATGAAATGCATCGAAGGACATAGAGATGACAGAAATTGTTATTAATATTAATAAATTATTGGATGAAGAAGGATTTCAACATGACTACAAGTTTTTATATTTCGCACAAGATTTTGGGGGATATTTCAGATCCTGACCAGACCTATAACAACATTTTTGTCTTGAGCAGATTAAATTCAAAGGTTTCAAGTTTCTAATAATTGACTTAGATACTCGTATTGATCGATTTTGTTGAAGGTTTTTCAAGTAACACCCTAATTATTATCTCTAGACATAGGTAGTGCATCACTTTGTCGCCTCTGCGGATTTAAAAAAATTTTCATCAGTTTTTTCCAAACGTTTATGTATGCCGTGCACGCACCTGCTTGGCCTAACCTGGGCCACATATCTAATTTTAAACATTTTTCAAACTCAATTACATTCCAAGGAGCCCGCACAAGATTATAGGGAGTGGGAAGACGAGAAGAGTCGTGTAGGTGTAGGTGTGCCCCTTGCCAGGTAATTGCTTGCAAATTACACAGTTACAGGGCCAACAGAAGAAGAAAAAACCCCACGGGAAGGACAAAAAGTGAATGAAAAACAAAACTGGAACCGGGAAAACTTTTCAGCAGAGCTACGAGTAGACATATACAAAGACAAAAGTCTGTCTTCTCAGCGTCGTCGTTGCCGCGTCTAATGAAATCAAACAAAGACACCGCACCGGCAGGATGGCAGATCTCACTCTCTGTCGGGGTGGGAAATCATCTTAAATTAGCAGCAAAACTCGGCAATTATGCGAGAAGTTGGCCAAAACCAGTTGCCAACTTTACTTGACTCAAACTTTACTTGGCTTGCCATTCTTTTTGTGTGTGTTCTTCTTTTGAGCAAATGCTAATGACTGAAAGTGCCACACTGAGCCACACAGGAAAAGGAAGACGGAGGGGATGGGATGGGAGACAAAGTCAAGCCACAGGTTGACTGACAAACACATTGACAGCGCGTCGAAGGGGCGAAGTGGCTGCCGGAAATGGCAGCACAGCACAGCTCGGCACAAAATGGCTGTTTGCTTGCATCCGGTCTAGGCCAAAGATGGCAAACAAATTTAGCCATGAAGTGAGGAAAGTCCGTTCTCTTCCTTGCATACATATTTTATGCAAACGAAAAGCACACTACCTCTGCCGCCCCCCCACCGTAAAACCTAAAATGGAAAACCGCGGCTTCTCCTTCAAATTTCTCCTCCCTCCACTTACTCTTCTAAGCAGCACCCTTACCGCCCGCCAGCCCTGGCGTACTGGGAATGCTTAGTTCATATTAATAATTCATAAAAATTTATGCGAAATAGACAACATTTGTGTCAGTTCTGTCAGTCGCTTTTGCGGTCTAACCTGGCCGACAGCTGCCGACCCGGACCACGGCTGGGCCGTGAGCGGTTGGGAGGAGGGTTGGAGTCTGCCAGCTATTTTGTATACTTTACGGGTGTATCCATAAATTTTTTTTGTTTTGTTTTGCGCCCTGTTTATATTCTTGACATAAAATTCAGCTGCTGTTCTTCGGAGCTGTGAGGATTGTTTGTACACTCTTTTGTTGGTGGATCAAAATTTGCTTGCATTAATATTCAATTTTAAAGTAAAACTATCTAATTAAGAGTACCATACGGGTTGTGCACTAATTCAACCATATCTTATTTTTATAAGTTTAACATTCAGAAGAACAGGCCTTTAGTCAAAACCACGTTCAAATACTTACACACACATTTTTACATATTTTTTCTGATTCTTATTAAGCCCCGGTCTCAACAATTAGAAAAGCAATTTCACGTTAAGCCGCTTACAAATAAAAAGAAAATTGAAATTGAATTTCACTTAGAAACAAACACAGCTCTGTTCCCAGACAAAGCAGTTTTTTTTTTACATCTCATTGCCTGATGCGATTATGTCATTTATTCCAAAATCAAATCAGTCAGAGCGTTCGAAATTTTCTTCAAGTTACTAAAACACTCCCCAAATAACAGATTTATAATTATTTGAATGGTTAAAATTCGGAAGTTGATTCTGCGCCAGATTATGTGCATTCTATATTGTTGGGAGGAGGCGGCCCTCGACTTCATGGATCGCCACAACACCAAGATCCAGGCCATAGTGCATCCGGTCTCAATGGCGACGCTGGTGTCGGTTATCGGGTTCCTGCTCGTCTACGATATGCTCTACGCACTGCCAGATCTGACCGACCCCGACGGTCTGTGGTACAAGATAAACTTATTCTGGAGCATCTTCGTCGTGTACAGTATCTTCAGCAATCTGTGGATCTGCTTTTGGACGGACACCTCGGTGCAGGCGCTGCCCGAGCACCGCTTGCGGCCGCCGCCGGAGGAGGCGCACCTGTGGCACTACTGTGCCAGCTGCGAGATTATGGTTCCTCCGCGGGCCTGGCACTGCCGCCTATGCAAGACATGCTGCCTGAAGCGGGACCACCACTGCACTTTCACCGCCAACTGCATCGGCCACCGAAATCAGCGCTACTTCCTTGTCTTTCTCTTCTACGGAACGCTGGGAAGTTTCCAGTCCCTGGTCTACAATTGTATCTATGTGTGGACAACTGGTGCCTTTGTCGTTGCGGATCCCTTCCTGATCTTGAGTTTTGGGCAGCCGAGAACAGACCCATCCATGGGCTGGAAAATCATAACATCTATGGTCCTCAAGTTGAACGTAGTCGCCGCCATTGCCGCCAGTGGCATGTTCATCACTCAAGTGTTAATGGTCTACCGGAACAGTACCTGTTTCATGATGTCCGACCGCGCCTACGACCTCGGACCCATGAAGAACTTCCGCCAGGTGCTGGGCAAGCGCGGCTTCTGGACCCTCCTCTCGTCGCACATCAATAGTCCCCTTCCAAACGATGGAACCGAGTGGCAGATGACCAAGCACACGGATGTCTAGATATCCCACTAACCCACTGTGAAACCATCAACATCATTCCCCTGTACTAAATAGACGCTCGCTTCCATTAAAGATTCTCAATTCCCATGCTTTTGGCCAGACAATCGAGTTTCTCGCTTCATTTAATTCGGCAATTCGTGTCGCCATTCAATGTGCTAATTACCATTGCCAATTCGGTGCGAGGGTTGGCGTTGGGGTTGGGGTTGGGGTTGGGGTTGGGGTTGGGGTTGGATGGGAATGGAAATGAGGGTGGGATGGTCACGCGTCTATATTTTATCTGATTGCTGGATGGAATTGCAAATTTCGGTTTTGCTTTGTAAGAGAAGGGTATGTGTATTTTGATGGGCTGGTAGTAGCGAGTGCAGTGAGAAAACTAAAGATATGTAGAAATAAATGAGGTGAATGAACGACAAAGAAATGTAATGATATAATAATGAGTGTTCAAAGATGAGTTCCCACGAATAACCTATCTGGACTCTGCCTCTGCCCATAGTAGTATTTCAAAATAGAAAAAAAGGTAAATAATAGTCATTTATAGCAACGAAAAGAGATTTCTCTTTAATGAAGAGAAAGATAGATTGAGGGGGAAATAAAAGCATAGAAGTTTAAAATGTAGAAATATTGTAGACGTACTATCCAATAATGCCATTGTACATGTTAATACCATTGAACATATACTTACTATTAGTTCTTACGCCCACTTTAATTTCTACAAAAAATTAGTTCTTAAGACCACTGTGCTGTACTCTCAGTACCAACACATAGCATACATATGTAAGTAAACTCTCCTTGCAGAGAGCGCATGGAATAAGAAAGAGGGAAAAGAAATTGAGAGCTGGAAAGCTACGATACATTTTATATCAATGGAAAATATGAGCAACATTCAGAAGAATAATGATTAAGAATTGAAGGAACATTTAAAATGATAATGATAGTTACAGTAAAAGTTATAGTAACCATCATTTATCTGTACAATCGGATTGATTTGATCCTGAAGCTGCTTGCCAGTTACCCCAGTTAGGATATACCAAATTCGTCTACTAAACGAGACTAATTTAAAATGATAAAGATTGATTTGATCCACAAAAATTGGAGATATAAAGCTGACTTCATTAACCTGCTTGCCAGTTACCCCAGTTAGGATATACCAAATTCGTCTACTAAACGAGCATTTCCTTTCTACATTAAACGCTTAACATTTGCATAAATTTACGCCTCACCGAAATCCCACCGAATTGGCTTGGCGGAAGAGTCTCTCCACTCTCTCCACTCCTCAAACCTCAAAACCAGATCAGTCCATGGCTTGTGACACCTTTTGCCGCAAGTCGAAAACACTTGTCAAGTGTCAGGAAAAGCCAAAAACCGTTTGAAAAATGAAGGCGACGGAAACAGGACAGGGATTGGGGGCTACTCCGAGGATGGACTGGAGCCTGGGGATGGGCTCGAGGAGAATTAATGACGGCGCATGTCACTGACAAGCCTCGAAACATGGAATCAAAGTCCAACAGGGGCAGGACGGCGGCGTGGGCGTGTTGCCGTTGCCGTTGCATGAAAAATGTTCGAGGTGCGAAATCTGTTGCGAGGTCTAAACAACATAATTGCCAAATAAAAAAGTCGCCGCCGGCTTAAAGCGATGACCATTAATCAAAACTCAGAGCTGGAAAGGAGCATCTGCCTCCGGTCGACCTCTCTTCCGCACGGAACGTGCACTGGAAGTCCGCTGAGAAATGGCACTGTCAACACTTTTTGGCCAATCGGAAAGAAGCCGCCAGACGGGGGAAGGGACCCGAAGCCAGCCAGCGACATTTGTTCCGGCCATAAGCGTTGGCCATGTCTAAGCAGAGCTTTACTTTCATTACCGCCTCCGTCTCCACTGCCGCCGGCTGATGGTTGATGGCTGATGACCTCCGATATGGGGCCAAGTCTGATTTCTGATTGCAGCGCACTCAATTGGACAACTTCCTGTTAGGACAGGACAGGACTGAACAGGATAGCATAGAAGAGGACAATATTTGCTGATACGTGTGCCTCTGCCTGGCCAGCATTTTTACGGCGAATCAACTTTAAAGTAAACTCCGCCCGAATCGGAGGGAACAAAGATCCAACCGAGACCACAGACCACTCTGCGGAGTCGGGGTCTAGGGGGTCTAGTCGTCAGTGACGACTTTCCTCACATTAGCAGTCAAATAATCATACGCCGCATTGTCCCTGGCCTAACAAGGGAATGGGAACAGAGGAAGGTGGACCTGTCATGGCATCTGTTGTGGATTTTTGAATGTGCCGTCAACAGGGTCCACGGCGGGAGAGGAAAACGTTTGCCTATCGGGGAATGGAAACTGGAATGGAGCTCGGTTGGAAATGGGAATTCTCGCACTGAGAGGAGGTGGAGGTACGAAGAGGAACTTTAGTCTGCGGGCCTTTAGCTGATGGAGGAGGCAGGAGGAGAATGTGTCCTCAGATAGCAACCACTGCCACTGCCACTACCTCTGTCCCTGCCTCCGTCTCTGGTTAGTTGGTTGGTTGAATCGTCCTCGTCCTCGTCCTCCTCCTCCTTCTGGCTGCTGGCTTTGGCTACAGGACAAAATTTACCGCTAAGCATCTGCCAACATCGTGCGACTCTTCAAAGGACCGGGAACAAGAGGGGGACTGCTACCAGGGCCAGAACTACGACTGGTATGACACGCGACTGCTGGTCGGGATCATGGGGGTCATTGTAATCATAACGGTGACTCTCTCTTTGCTGGAGTTCAGTCCTAAACAGGACAAAAAGTGCGCTGAAATGGCGCCAAATTAGTCAAATCGCATAATGGCCAACATACAGGGTGGCCACTGCATAATACTCGAATTCGTGTAACATAAGCAATTTTCGACCATTTTCGAATGTAAAGTCAATTGTCCAGAGTCCCCATTTCACTCCTTATTTATCCGTCGCTTCTCTTTTGGCAAACAAACAAAAGCAATCGACTGGAGCGGCTTGTTTCTCCATCTGCTGCTCCTCTGCCAGCGTCTTAGAAGCTGACGCTGGCTGCTCTGCTCTGCTGCCATCTCTGCTGCTGTTTCTGTCAGACCTCTGCTGTTCCTCTGCTTCTGGATGGATGATGGACAAATGGCAACCATCCCAAAGTGAGCAGCGGCTAAGCAGCGCAGCGGACAGCAGCCGCAGCAGAGGCCCGCGACAGTTTTTATGAATTTTCGTTTGCCTTTTATCTGCCTCTGTTTCTGTTTCTGTTTCTGATTCGGCTTTCCTTTTGTTTGCTTCGCAATTATTTCCCCTGCAGCGAAGAGTGTGGACTGTAATGGCAGCAATGTTAGCGTTGCTTCTGTTACAGTTACTATTACAGTAGCTGCTGTCTGCTTTGGGGGGTGTTAGCCGAGGGGTGGCTGGTCGCTCACACTCCACGCATCGCTACACTTCTTGCATGGTTTTCGGGGGAATTCTTTCGCAATATTTCCTTTGAAATTGAACACTTTGCTTCCACTTTGTTTCCGTTTCTTGGTTTTGCTGTTAGAATTTTGCAAATTTGCATACATTTCATGCGGCTTGCACTTACACTCCCTGTCTCGCTCTGTCACTCTCTCTCTCTCGCTCACCCCTCTACTTCTCTGTTTCAATGTATCAATGTATTTGTGTCGTGTCTTTGGGTCTTTGGGTAATTTAATTTTCACGAAATGTTTCACCTTTTTCGGGTACATTTTCTGCTCTCCCACTCTGAGTGTGTTTCTTCGTGTATTTGCATTTGCAGCTGCTTGTGATCCGTTCCTGTTATTCCATCCTCCTTCCACCCACCCCCTTTATTTGCCAGGCACTTCACACGCTGCCACTTTCCACTTAACTTACCCTCCCCCACACGTACACACATTCATTTCCCACCCTTCTTCCTACCTACCCCTACCCCTACCTAGCCGTTCCTTTGTCCACCCCCAACACCACACCCATTCCTTGCGGTCATTTAACTGATGTTTCTATCATGCCCAGTGCTCTCGCTTTCTCTCTCTCTTTTCGTCTCCGAACTGGTCCTTGGTCCTGCGGCTGGGAAATCTTTGTTGAAATCGTGCGAAAAATTAAATAAATGACCATGTCCGATTCCCCTATTTTCAGTACCCATTTCCATTCCCCCTTCCTGTCAAACGGCTCCAGCCGATCGGTGTTTCCTTTATTTCCACCTTATTTATGGCTTTAATGTCCTATAATTTTGCATTGATTTCCATTTACCTTTCCGATTTATGGCTCAAGGGTTAGGCGTCTCCCAACTCGGCTCCATTTCCAATTCTCATAGGTCGGGATTCCATGGATACATCTCTCTAGGCGGAGCAAGTGAGCCGGGTTGGTGCACAAACAAAGCGAGTACGCAGTGGACTTGCCACTATAATATTTATGTTTCATAGCTTTTGAAAATATCAAAGTGATACTTTTAGAATTTTAATTAAATAAACTCGAGTATATGGTTAAATCCTCTCAGCGGGTATAACCATTTCAAAAAGTTGTTTAGATAAGTGATATCTTGATTCCATCGTTTGCAAAAACAAAATCCGATAATCTTTTCTAGGGACTTCCGGCAGAATGAATAGGTCTTGTCCAAGTTATCGAAATCGAACGACTTATTGATATGGAAGGGTATGACAAGTATCGCTCCCAAGGCAAGCATTCCACTCTTGTTTCATCAAATATTACATTTTTGTTCAGTGCACTCACATCAAGAGACCGCAGATCTCACCCTCCCGCGTTTAATATGAGTTTTTACATATTTCATTCGCTTACCCTTTCCCCCCTCGTTTGTCCATTCAACAACAAATTGGCCAACGGCCCTGCGCTTGTAGTCCGAAATTGCCTTTCATACCGTCAATTCCATCAGCAATTTCCGCGCCAATTAAAAAATTGTTGCAACTGGCCGGCTCCGGCTCCGGCTCCGGCTCCTGGCCCTCGGCATTCGCCACTTTTGCATGCCGCGCACGCACTGCAGTGGAGTGCGGGGTACAGGGTGCAGGGTGCAGGGTGCGTGGCAAGCGTGATGGGGGAATTCGGTTGTGGAATCGCGAATGAGGTGCCATCTCCCTCCACTCCATTCGCCCCTCCTTTCTTTTTGTTGTTCATCATAAATAAATACTGT